ACTCAAATCATATGGCTCAAGTGGGCACCCTTGCCTTTTTATTCACAGAGCTCTCTCACTTGCTCTCTCTCTCTCACTCGCTCACTGTTACACATACATACACTTGCCTCCTTTGCCATGGGTAAACTTCTAACCAAAGCTGGGCTGATCACTGTGCCCCATGTCTTGACACAGTGATTGGGCCAGAATCGGGTAGTTAACGGGAGCTGGACCAATCAGAGCTTCTGAAACTTTAAAGCAGGAAGAAGTGAGTCTCGGAGCTGCTGGCAATTGAGCACTTGACCCAATCCTGTGGTAGACATTAACCTGAGCTATCCAACAGCAAAGAGAAACCAAGTGTGGGTCGAGGGAGAGCATCCTGTATGCACCCAGGGCTCTGGCTCCTTGTCTCTACGACAGGATTGCATCGTTATCCTCCCATGGTTTAGCAATGTGACCAAATCTCTTCACTTTGCCTAGGCTGGCATGGCTCAGTTTCCTATCCCTTGCAACAAAGAGAGTGTTGACTAATATGGGAACATTGAGTAACAGTGATAAGTGGTGAGCTCTGCAGCCGTATTACCAAAAACATAAATTTCTACATGGGCCTTCTTCTTAGGCACTGGCAATTACTCTCTGAGGACCTACCTAGATCATTCCTGCCTATTCTGAAAATGCACTCTCTGAGGGCTTCCTGTTCTGGCCAAGAAGGGCTCTGTATGAAAAATATTAAAGTTGCGTTCATTTCATGCATTTTGAGGGTGTCCACTGAAGGTTAGCTGTTGCAATGATGCCAAGAACAAAGACAAGGACAAGATAAATAAGTCGGCTGCTGCATTCACATGGCTCACTCTTTCAACCTGTCTACAGTCCACACATGAGACATGATGCCTTCACACCTACACACATACCTACTAATGTCCTCAGGTGCTAATAATTGCTCTCTTCCTACTAGCATCCCAAAATCCATAGCTGTGCTTCCTGTCTGACAAGAGTTCTAGAATCCCTTCTTACCTGGCAGTTCTCATCATCCTTTAACACCCTTTCTTGTACCTAATGCAGGCCTGGCACACAGGAGGTGGGTGCTTGTCCCTTGTTGGTGTCCAACATCCAAATACTTCCCCAGACACAGTGGTAGACGACAGAAGCCACTGCCCACTGCAGGTGCTGCAGAGGCCTGATAATGGTTTGTCCAACTTCCTATCCCAACCAAGCTGTTAACTTGTACAACCTAGCCCTGACAGCTCAAATGCCCAATCACAGGCTTTCAATGTAGGTGCTGGTAAGGCAGGGGCAGGCCAGAACAGAATCTGTTTCATGACATTTCTAGAGCCAGCATCACGGCAGAGCCCACAGCTGCAGTCGGGCCTGCTGTAGCCACCACGATTCTTTAGCAGCGGACAACATCTCCCGACCGAGTCCTGGGTTGGCTCTGGGCTGTGGTCCTGGCTGCTGATTGGCATCCCATACCCCTGTCTCTTTTCTGCATTTGGGTTTCCAGACTTCTGGGGAAGTTTATGAGTTCCTATTGTTATTTATGTAAACTCCCCTTCTCAAACAAGCCAGTTGATTTCTGCTCTTTGGAACTAACAGGCCTGATATATTACCATCCACAAAGTCTTTAAGTGCACCTGCAAATGGATCTGTTTTTTATAATTTACACTTCACAGCAACTTGCTGGGATGAGTAGACACAAACTACTCATCTCCCTGTGTTGAAAATATTGGTGTTGGCTCAAAGAAGTCAAGACTTACACAGCCAACAAGAAGCAGAGTCTGGACGCCAATTCCAGAACCATAAGCTCTTTGCACTATATTGAACAGAGTGCAAAGAGCAGTAGAAGTGTTTTTAAGAATACAAACCCCACAGAAGCTAAGTGAAAATACAATCTATTTGAAATAAGAACAGGATAACTCAGAAAGGAACATTCTTAAGCTAAAAGGAGCTCTTGGAAAGTAAAACTGAGAACACTGTGTTTTAGAAGATAAAATTGAGAAAAAGACATCCTTCAGAAAGTTGAGCAAAAAGACAATTTTGGATCAGAAAATAGGAAAACTAAAAAAAAACTGTTTTTAGAAGGTCACATCCACTTAAGAGATGATTCAGAAATAGAGGGTAAGAAGAAAGTGAGCATACAATTACCAGAGAAATAATATGAGAAAGTTTCTTACAACTAGGCAGTACAGGGGGTTGGGGTTGTAGCGTAGTAAGTCGGGCTGCAGCTTGGGATGCTGGCATCCCATATCCACTCTGCTTCTAGTCCAGCTTTTGACTAATGCACGTGGGGAAGCAGCAAGAAAATGGCCCAAGTGCTTGCATCCCTGCCACCCACAGAGTTCCAAATCCCTGGCTTTAGGAAACTGAGAAAACAATGAGGCAATGCTTTCAAAATCTGCAGGAAAATTATTTTTGAGAATTCTATATGAAAGCATTGGTTTCACATTGCTGCTGTAGCAAAGTACCATGCGGCTTAAAAGAAATCAGAAATCAGAAATGCAAAATGGGCCAGGGAATCGGCTATCCTGATTCTAGCAGTTTCTAGCACCTTTCCAATTTCTGGAGTCTGAACACATTCCTTGACTCACACATGCTTTCTTTGTCCTCAAAGCATTTCCAACCTCTTCTCCTCTCTCTTCCTCAGAACCTCCAACTTCCTTCTTATAGTAAGGGCTTTTGTGACTGCATTGGACCCAGCCAGACAATCCAGGTGATCTACTCATCCCAACACTGTTAGTTTAATCACATCTGCAAAGCACCTATTGTGAAGGCTCCTGTAGCCAGTCATGTGGTGGAGGAAAGCAATTATTTCCTCAATATATATAAGCAGAGAGGGAACCCTACATGATTCTCCACCAGTTTCTAGGCTCTCCAAAGCGCAGAGGGCTGTGTCAGAAAGTTCCCAAATACAGCAGATACTCTGTCCTTCCTCCATTTGCACCTAAAAGGAACTTGCTTCCCAACCTCACTAAAACCTTCAAAACAAAGTCAGAGAGGCAGTGAGGTCGCATCAGTCCCATCAACTGTGGCACCTGGATGGTAGCTCCTCATCTGTGAGATGGGGTCACATGTCCCTACCTCACAGGGTGGCTGTGAGGATTACATGGGCAAGCACAGGAGTGTGTGACACAGATGCCAATAGGACCTGACCCATAGGAAGTACTCTGCAAACAGGAGTTAACACCAGAAATAAAAGAATCCTGTCTCCAGCACCATATTTGTTATAGAAGGAAAGTCAGGTTGGAAATTCCAAAGTAAGAATCAGAAGAAAAGAGAAGAAGGAATTTTCCTCTCTGGACCAGGCAGTTTGGGAAGAAACTATACCATCACAGGCAGACATGCGCACTCACATGTACTTCCAGCTTCTCATTGCTACTGCCCACTACTTAACCTAATTATCTAGAGGCCAAACATCTGCTGTCACTCGAGGGCACACAGCAGCTGCAGACCTGTCCCACAGCTGGCCAGCCCCCTCACAAAACTGCTAACCAGATATGTGCAGTATGGCCCTTGCTCTCCAGTGATTCAAAACAGAAAGAAAACACCTGGAAGCAAACACACTGAGCTAAGTCAACCTCCACTCATTCTTCAAACAGGCTGTGATCAATGTGAAAGCATGCAATTGAAAAACAGTGGAATCAGTAATGTGTATGCCTACACCAACTGACTTTTACAGCAGTGCCTACACTTTAGTTTTTACATTCTTCCTTGGAATGCAGCCCCACACTTGGTGACGGCTTCTACTACATTCAAAACAAGGATTTCTACAATGTGCTTAACCTCTGTTCCCCGGTGCCTGGGTATGTGATTTTGTGTTTGCATTTCCCCATCTGTGAAGTGGAGTATCAGCCACCTGCACTGCGCTATGGCAAAAATAAAATCAGACAACTGTCTGTTGAGCATGTGGCGGGAACGGCTTCCCTCCAACCCAAGTGTCTCCTCGCCTCGTCAACACAGGAACTCGCAATACTCTGCAAGTCTTGTTCTTTCAATTCCAAAGAAAGATTTCCCTCCTAAGCTAAAAAAAGAAAAGCACCTCCACAATGCGCCCAAAAGTCCATTTCCTGAGCCAGAATGGAGAGTGAAGACTCTTTATGAAGAATGATGAGGGCAATGATTTTTTAAGCTTGTAAAACTGCAGTGTCCTATGGACTGGCTCCCCTCATTCGCCTATGCCAGCCGTGTTTGCCAGGTTCCTGATTCTTCCACATACATCCCACCCCGCTTTGGTGGATGTGCTGATGGTAAACACTCAGCAAATGGCTTTCTAGCTAAATTGAGCAGAACCAGGGGAAGAATTTCCACCAGATGTATCAAGCATCTCGGAAGTGTCAGGTGCCATGGAAGACCCTCCTTTCTCACGTTTAATTATCATATAGTCCTAAGAGGTAAGCCTCACTGCCCCCTTCTGTAGATGACAAGAGAGAAATTCAGAGCCCCCTGATTCCTAAAGTCACAGTCAGGAAGGAGCAAAGCGAGGTAGCAGCAGGGTTCCTGCCTCCAGGTCAGCACACAAGCAATCATGACTTGGCTGTAGCCAGGGGTCTCTCATACCTACAGCACCTAACGATTCTCCTTCCCCACAAACCCAGCCCCTGTGCACACCTTGGAGCCCCTAGTGTTCAGCGCGTCCATGGATAATTCCCAAATGGACCACATCCTTTTTCTCCACTGCAGTTGATGAGCAAAAGACAATACCGTTTTTTCCAGTGCATTAGTCAGGCTCAGAGCAGAAAAATCCCCATGACTTAAATCATTTTCCATCCGTTGGAACGAGGACAAACGCAGAGAAGACTCGCAGTCATACATAAACATTGCTTTAAAGTGATGCCAGTCTCTCTTTCAATTTTGCTTACCCCTAACTAAAACCAAAACCAAAGATCTGACTGCTCCCTTTCTTATATCTTAAATAGACACAAATAAACTCTAAGTGCAGCAACCAACCAATCAGACTGAGCCCTCCAATCAACACACTTGCTCCTTGCACCTACACCTGATGCAATTCTGATCCTGGGCATGCTGACCTGAAATAGTTGCTGGCCGCTGCGAGCACCACGCGGTGGCAGGAGAATTCCTGGATGTCCACGCACAGGGTGACATCCGTCAGAGCGTTTTCTACTCGGAGGGTCTCCAAGCCGTTCTGAAGAATCAAGGAGAGTCCCGCATCGTCAAATTTCACCTTATCACCATTTAGGATTTCCACCAAGTCTCCCCTCTTCTGGGAGGACTCGTCCTCTGAAGATGCCTGGGGTCCTTCCAAGCTCTTCTCCAACACGTCGTCCATGTTCCAGGAGCCTTGTTGTGCTGCCATCCACGCCCAGACTGAAGGAGTGCCCTGACTTCGGGCAGGTCACACTGCAGAAGCTGGGCGGATTTCCTGTACAGGGCCCTCCACTTATCACCAGCTGTCACACACACATAACAGGAAGTCTCTTACTTTCTCATCCGGTTGCTACAAACGCCAGCAAGCTTCTATTCTTCTATCTGTGAATGCTCCCAGGTCAGACACGACTTAGCAGCGGAGTGTGGGAGGGGGCCGTGGGAGGGAAAAGCTGGTTCGCGGAGTCTCCCGGGCCAGCCCCGGTGTGGTTATTTCGGTCCGTCTCCCACCCCATATCCGAGAGCAGGAAGCCTCCAGTTCTGGTTGTGACATTTGGATTTCTGCAGCTAAAGCACACGTGTGTTGCCTGTGCTGAGACAGACGGGCAGAGAGACTGCCACTGTCCTCCACTCACTCCACCCTGGAGTCTGAGAGCCCAGGGTAAACCCCCATCCTATGCCCTGGAAACCTCAGAGACCTGGAAGAAGCTCCTGGCTCCTGGCTTCAGATCAGCTCAGCTCCTGCCATTGCTGCCATTTGCGAAGTGAACCAGCAGATGGAGGATCTTTCTGTCTCTCCTCTGTAAATCTTCCAAGTAAAAACAAATAAATCTTTAAAAATAAAATGCTTTTTATTCTTAATACAACCGTGGGAGAAATCAGAAATGGCTTCTTAAAACTCTATCCCCAGGATGTTTTCTATTGGACACTAGTCACAGCAGGTCAATATCCAACTGCTCCGCAGATCTCAAGTTGGCCTGAGCTTACATGGTACTTACTGACCGTGCATGATGAATGAACATATACATAAACCTATGCATGGTCCTTGCTAGATCATGACCTCTGCTGGCCTCAGCTAATCAGCAATAACTCTCATTTATCAAAACCCTACTATGTCCAGGGAGTTCATGTATTTTGATCTTTATGACAACCAAATTGGGTAAATAGGAATTTTCTCATTGTACTGTTAAGAAAACTGAAGTTCTGCTCAAATGAGTGGCAAGACCCAATTATGTCTGACTACATAGCCCCTTGGTTCCCCCACTATCAGGTACTTGGTTGTAATACCATGATGACCCTGATTAGTTGTCTGCCACAGGAAAAGTGCAGGGATTGCCTCCCTCGGCTGGACCAGTGCCCAATGTCTCACTGGGTGGCATCCACTGAATTCCAGCTGCACTCACTGACCTCCTACCAGTGGGGAGGACAGCAGTCCTGTGAATAGAGGCCCAGTGCTTCACTTCATTCTGGCCAGTGGTAGCTGGAGCCTTCTGTAGGCCTTCTAATCCCCTTCAGCTCTTCTCATCTTCCATGGATCCATATTCCTAAACTTAGGGTCATAAACATTTCCCCCAGGGTTTAATACTATGGTGTAATATGTAAAGCAAGAAAGAAAATCAGTAAAGAAAAGAAAAAAAAGAGGAAGGAAGGAAGGAAAGAATAAAGGAAAGAAATCAAGGTTTCCCAGTGAGCAAGAATGCAGCAGTTATTCACTGAAGGGTATCTACGACGCTTTATACTTGTAAGGGTTACACTATTTCTTTTAACATTGCATCTATGTCAACCTTTGAAGTCTTCTGAATTGGCAAGGAAGATTTTTGCTTTTTCGAGCTGAGCCAAATTTTTCCTTCTCAGCCATCAGAAGATTGGTCTTCTTGAATTTAAATGGAGACCTGGCATGGTAGCTAAGATCAGTTTTCAAAAGTCACAAGCTGAGCCATGTTTAAGAGAACCCTGGAGAACCCAGTGGAGGAAACTGCTCCCATCACCAGGCTTGAGTGTCAAGGTGCAGCCTTGATACATTCAGCTGAATGAAGGACAACAAGGCAAGACCCAATGGAAGAGTAAGGTGAGAATGAGGTGAGGTCTCAGACTTCTGCATTCATCAGAGCTGGGTTCCCGGACTCCCTTAGCCTCACTGTCGGCCTGGTGCTTGGGTCAAGACAGCCTCACTAAAAGATGTAGGGCCAACCCGGATAACACACCATACCCCTGCTGCATCTCCTATAACCTTGCCTCCTATGATGTAGATAACAAACTCTACCATGACCACATACCTCTATTCTGCTCGTTTTAATAGTTTACATCTGTATTCAGAGTTCTGTGTTGTTCCTAGTCTTCCTAGTGATTGTATCTTTTCGATTAATATTAAAGGTCCCTTTTTATTCTGTTAATTCTTCTAAGATTTATTTATTTTATATTTACTTTACAGACAGAGTGACAGAGAGAGCAGAAAGAAAACACAAACAGATCTTCCATCTCCTGGTTCACTTTGCAAATGCCTGTACTAGTCAGGGCTAGGCCAGGCCAAATCCAGGAGCCTAGAACTTCATCCATGTCTCTCATGAGGATGCCATGGCCTAAATACTTGGCTCGTCTTTCACTGCTTTCCTATGTGCACTAATAAGTAGCAGGAACAAAAATGCTGAGACTAGAACCATCACTCTGATATGGGCTTAATCCAATGCACCATGACATTGGACCCATGTTAAACACTCTTCTGATCTGTCAGAAATTCCAACTCGAGCTTTCTTTTTATTTTTCCTGATTTTTGTCTTTTTCGCATTCTAGGAAAGAAACATTTTTTATGCTTCTGATAGTTGCAATGATGTTTAGACAAATCTTAACTTTTTCTCATATGATTATTACCATGTAATTATTATATGATATTTGGTTATGATTATTTGTGTGAGATATAATTATGATAGCACAAGGTCTATGGATAGCTCTGATTTTCACCTGCGGTCTCCCTAGCTTGTATTTCTGGAGAACACCACCATGGCTTTCAATGTCACCTGTAGGCTGACGACTCTCATTCTGGTTCGCCAACTCTGATCTTTCCCTCAATCTTAAGCTCATATGTCCAACTGCCTACTTAACATCTACACTTGAGGGCCTAACGCTTGAGAAGACCTAAGACTAACACATTACAATCCCAAATCTTAAAGGAACACACTGAAAACTTTACCAGCCTGGGTTTCAGCTGGGACCCACAGAGGGCATCTGCGTTGATCAGTACAGTTCTCAATCTTAATGGTATATCCAAGGACAGGATGTGCTTTATGATAACCAAGCTATGCATTTCTTTGTATCACTTTTCACATTGTGATATTATTAGACAATAACAGAGTAACAACAGAAGCCAGTGTTATGGCATACCAGGAAAAGTAATGATATTTAGAAAAATCTTAAAATTAATGCTCATATAATTATTATAGTACTAAGTCTATGGATGCCAATACCGTGGCAGCCCATATGGCTGGAGTCCTGACTGTTCCACTTCTGATTTGCTCCCAGCTAATGTGCCTGGGGACATGGCAGAGGATGGCCCAAGTGCTTGGGCCCTTGCGCCCACATGAGAAACCAGGGAAGACCCTCTAGCTCCTGGCTCCTGGATCCCGGTTCTTGGTTCCTGACTCCTGACTTCTGGCTTTAGATCAGCCTAGCTCTAGCCATTACAACCCTTTGGGAAGTAAACCAGTAGATGGAAGATCTCTCTTTATCTCTATCTCTCCCTCTATCTTTTACTCTAGCTTAAGGCTTCCCAGCCATAACACTGCTAACATTCTGGACTGGCAAATTCTTGCTTGTGAGGCTTGTGTGTGTGTGTGTGTACTTAAAGACTTACTTATTTTATTGGAAAGGCAGATTTAAAGAGAGAAAGAGAGACTGAGAGAAAGATCTTCTGTCTGCTGGTTCACACCCCAAGTAGTCACAACATAGGGAGATGTACCAATCCAAAGCCAGGAGCCAGGATTATTTTCTGGGTCTCCCACATGACTGTAGGGTCCCAAGGCTTTGGGTCATCCTCGACTGCTTTCCAGGCCACAAGAAAGAAGATGGATGGGAAATGGAGCAGCTAGGAAATGACCCGGCAACCGTATGGGATCTCAGCACTGGCCAGGTGAGGATTTAGCCACTGGGCCATCATGCGTGACCCTGTCCTGTGTGTTTTAAGATGATTAGCAGCCCCTTGGCCACTACCCAACAGATATTAGTGCTCTCCCCCTCGCAGGGATTGGGACAGAGCCAATCAGTTGACTACCAGAGACTACCAGTTGCCCCTTGCATGAAAAATGACTTCAGATGAAATCGGTCTAGATATGTACTTATCAAAAATGCGCAGTAGGGCCCGGCACGGTGGCGCAAGTGGTTAAAGGTCCTCGCCTTGCACGCCCGGGATCCCATATGGGCGCGGGTTCTAATCCCGGCAGCCCCGCTTCCTTTCCAGCTCCCTGCCTGTGGCCTGGGAAAGCAGTCGAGGACGGCCCAAGGCTTTGGGAACCCTGCACCCGCGTGGGAGACCCGGAGGAGGCTCCTGGCTTCGGATCAGCATAGTATCGGCCCGTTGCGCTCACTTGGGGAGTGAATCATCGGATGGAAGATCTTCCTCTCTGTCTCTCCTCTCTGTATATCCGCCTTTCCAATGAAAAAATAATAAAAATAAATCTTTAAAAAAAAATGCTCAGTAACACTTTCAAGCATAAACATCAAAAGGTAAAACAAACAAAGAATATGGGGAGAAGTACAATGAGAGCCAAATGTGTGAGAAGGGAAGGGGTTGTGGAAAGGGGGCACCACTACAAGAAAGATGGGGCCAGGGAAGGGTTGGGACATCATGCTGGGACAGAGATGCTGACACATTTCTGGCTTGCATCAGAATTATCACCCAAGGCTCTCCAATTCAATGGGTTAAAATAGAGTGGTCTGAGAATTTGTATTCCTAACAAGCTCATAGGCGAAGCTGCTGACATTGGTGCCAAGCCCATTCTTTGAGAAATGCTTCTCCAGGAGACACTACGAATACTTAACAAGTGGGAAGAGAAGGAAGTCAGGGGGTGCCCCAGTGACCAGCAGGAAAGTGTTTCCCAAAAGCCTCTTGCAACCTAGAATAAAACAATCTCAAACACTCAAAGTCACCAAGGCCAGCCTAGAGCTGTCTCAAACAACCGATCACAAAACACACCCAAAGTCACACTGCTGGTAATTAGCCAAAGCAAGATTCCAGCTCAGATGTAGCAAAATCAGACCTTGTACCTGTCCTGCTTAG